GGGGGAAGGAGTTCTTGCCATCTGCGCTGCTGAACGGGGGGGGTTTTCTGGAGAGAAGCTGATCGCTGGATTAATTCTCGATAGTCTGTTAAATGGCCATAGTTAACCCTGTAAGACTCCACGAGGAGGGGAACTCAGAGGTCACCTACCCATTCCACACTGCCAGCCATGCTAATTGGAGAGGGGTGGCATCCGCAGCTATAATGGATTTCCAGACAACCCTACTGTGGCCAAAGATGAAAAAAATTAAACATTTATATAACTGTACAGTGGCAGTTCAATTCTCCGCGGACCAGCGCCGTGTCAGGGAATGCAGGCTGATAGCTATCATTTATTATGCTTCTATTACAAAGAAATGCTTTTTCATTTTGATCAGGAGAGGGTTTCCTAAGATGCGCTTGCAGGAAGGGGTGGCTGCAGGAGCAGAAATGATCATAATTGATTCCCACCCTGTTGAATGGTCTGAGCAACGTCTGTTAATTTTTTGTCACATTTCTTCGGCAAAAAAACCCAATCTCAAAGGACTGCAGATAGGGTTTTACAGAGATTACATTTCTGATTAAGTCTGCGTGCTGGCTCTGTTGTGCACCAGATAACAATGCAAATAAGTTAAGGAGGATGAGTTGGAGGCAGAGCTCATTGGAGGACTCACATGGAAATAAATATGGTCCAATCCTTTGTAACATAAACTCCTCATTGCATGTAAAATACCCTCCAAAATAAGGAGTGTTTATTTCCAGAAGGCAACTTGCAAAGGCAACCTGTGTGCCTGGCTCCCAGTCCTGGGATGGCCAGGGAGTTGGTGCTCTTGGCTCTGGTTTATTTTTGGGAGGAAGCTGGTGTGCCAGTGCTGCATTGGCACCCAGCTGGCCCTGCGGGGTCCCTGTCCTCTGGGACATTCTGTCTCGTGTGGAGAAGCAGGGTTGACTCTCCTGGCAGGTCATCAAGGTGTTGGTGGAGCAATGAGGAGCAGTGCAGGCAGGGAGGTTAGCTGTGACTGTCGCAGAAGCTGAAAAAAGGTGAAAGAATATTTTCTGAGCTGATTTGTTGAGCAGGGACTGCAGAAAATAATCAGGAAAATCAAGACACTGAGATGATGGTGATAACAATGGTTCCTGCATGATTAAAGCGATGGCTTTGGCATGGTAATTTTTACCCCATCTCTGGTCAGAGTGGCAGGGTAGGCAGGAAACACAAGTTCAGTGCCAAGGATGTGCAGGACCAGTGGGCTGACCACTGCCCTGGGCACGCAGTCTAAAGAGCAGCCTGGCAGCTTGTGTTCCTGTGTTTTGCTTTTGCTTGCTGTCCCTGCCTGAACCTCATCTCACATAGTCTCAGAGAAACAGGGTGGTGAAGTTGCTGGGGTTTGCTTGTTGATGTTAATGATCCTTCCTGGGAGCCAGACGAGGTGCCCTCGTGGCCCGGCTTTGCTGGGCTTGGACCTTGACTTGTAACACCATGAGTCCTTTGTGAGTGGCTCAGACTTCACCAGCTAATTTGGGAGTCTATGTGCTCAGTGGGTAATTGTGGATTTGCTGAAGCAAGATGCTAGTTGGCAGAAATCCTTGAAGTTTGGTGGTAGACAGTGATCCCTCTGTGGTGGCACCAGAGCTTTAGTGAGGACCTGGCTGGCCAGCCTTCACCTACTGAGATGCTGGATTTCCTGCAGAAAGAGCTGGACATGGGATAGGAATGGATGGATCTAGGCTCCTTTAGTGTTTTTAAACTAGCACATGACCCCAGCATTGGTGGTGAGTACGTGGCTGTGGGAGCCCCAGGGACCTCCTGCAGATTGCCTCAGGGCCATCTATCCCTTCACTCCCCTGGTGCCACTCTTAGATGGGAGTGACACCAGCTGTGGGAGTAGCTCTTGCTCTTCCTTTGGAAATGACCTAGATTTCCAGAAGAATGGCAAACTAGCATGGAGCGTGTTGAGCTTTAGTGGGCAGCAGCAGGTCAGAAACACCACCTGGAGCTCAGCCACATTGCTTATTTTGGGAGTAGGACTTCTACCCAGTCCCTTTTTACATCAGGATCTTAATTATTGATTATAAATTCATCAGTTGAAGAAAGATTGCTTTAATTGCTCTAATACATACCCAATTTGGAGTTCATTATTGCCCAGAATTGTTTTCCTTCCCTTGCTAATTGATACCAAATGGAACACTGAGGAAGGCAGGCACTGGCACCACTCCACCTTTCACAATTGTCTCGTTGCCTTTTAATTGTTTATTTGTGGAGGTGTTAAGCACTGCTAGAAGTTTATGTGCACTCCTTTCCTAAGGGCATCCTCAGCTGAACATCCAAATGGATTTGTTTGAGAAAGGGAGGGTTTGAAATGGTAGTTGGATCTCAGCGACGTTTTGGGTTGGCTGGAGAAGTCTGTTGGAGGATGGGGGTAAATCCTGGGGTCCCCTATTGGTATCTTGTCCTATTTACTGCAGTAATGAGGTGGTGTTTCTCTATGTCCTGGTGTAACCGTGGCTCAAAAGTCCAACACTGGAGGAAACCCTCATTTCCAGTATGGAGGTGAAGTGCCCAGGCAGGAGACCCACCACTGGTATTGCCTCCGTGGGACAGTGGTGGGTGATGCTGGCAGCCCTGGGAGCTTTGCTGTCAGGTTTGAAGCTCCTGATGCCTTTTCCTCCCAGCAACGTGGGGAAATCTCAGCGTGAAATGTTTTCCAACACTGCAGAACATGGTGGTGCTTTTCCCAGGAAATGGCAGAGCAGACCAGATGTTTCACAGGGTAATTGAAAATTCCATTTTATCAGAAAGCATTTGCTGTCAAAAAGTTTTATCTTTACTTCAACAAAGAGGTTGATTAGATCCCCCAGGACCTGAATTAGCATCTTTGAGGCTAGATACTCTGGTTTGTGATTCAGGTAGTTATTCCTCCCTTGGTTTTACTCATACTGGGACTCTTTTTTTAAATCACTTTGCCCTCTTCCAAACACAGCTTTTGTGCAGGTTTGGCTTGTTTTCTTTGTGTGGATGTTTACAGACACCTAGATCTGCTTCGATCTTTTCTATTACCTTTTTCACCTTACCTTGAGCCAGAGTCATACTCTATAAGTCACAGGAGCTCTTGCCAGCACAGAAATCAGAAAGGAACTATTTAAAATACGTGTTTTTAATGTTAGAAATGACAGATTTCAAACTTATTCTTAATTTCCAGTGCTGGCCAGAATTTTTACCATCAGTTGTAGCAGGAAAATCATTGGCCCAATGTAGCAGTGATTCCCTGTTTAAAATGAAAATAGAATCCAAAAGAAAACATGCAAATAATATACACATGCTAATCATAAAAAACCAGTGTTAGAAATAGTCACCAGGGCCATAAAAGAGTGAAAAAGCTTTAAAATCAAAGTGAGAGGGTTTTTAAGCAATGTCAGTAATGTGTCTCTACAGAGAATTGCTTCTAAAAGCATCGCTTCCATTTTTCTGCTGCCAGATCAGCAGTAAAGGTTGGCGTGAAATGTCATCTGGAAAGACCTGATCCTGCATACATTTCCACATTTGAGTAACTTTGCTCACATAGGTGGTTTAATTGTGTCTGAGTCTCATAAACTCCAACAAGATGAAGGGTTCTTTGAATAGAAATGGGTTATATTTAAATGCTTACATGAAGTCTTTATATTATCACACGGTATAGAAATGGGCTTGAATATAAAGGAGAGCTGGGCAGGTGCCATTCACCCAAACTTCTCTTGCTGGTTGCATCCCAAATTACTCAGATCATCATTTAGGGGATCAGGTTTTATCTAGAGTGTTCCAATTGCTTCTTATGCTCATCTCCATAGTATCTGGGTGCCTTTCAGGTATGAATCAAGAACATGACTAATGGTATTAACTGGAGGCAAACACAGGTATTAGAAACTTGAT